TTAATCATTAGTGTGGATACAGAGAGACATGGCCACATGGTGGAAACTAGCTATTAGTAAGTGGTCAAAGAGGAACAGCATTAATTATATATATAATATATATATATATATTACTTAGTCCAGGGTTCAATAATAATAATAATACTATACATTTTTTAAATAATAAATTATGATGTGTATCATTAAAAATGATACTATTTTCATATTATTGTTATCATCATCATCAATAGTACTACTATTACTTCTAATAAAAACATTTATAATAATATTCTCCCTTTTAAATAATAAATGATGATGATTATTAAAAAAAAAAAAAACACTGTTTTTTAAATAATTTAAAACTTTTTTCATTTTTTCAATGATAATACTATTATTATATTATTATTATTATTATACAGGATTTATATATTATTATTATACAGGATTTATATATTATTATTATTATTATAATACAGGATTTATATATTATTTTTATTATGCAGGATTTATATATTATTATTATTATTATACAGGATTTATATATTATTAATATTATACAGGATTTATATATATTATTATTATTATACAGGATTTATATATTATTATTATTATTATTATTATACAGGATTTATATATTATTATTATTATACAGGATTTATATATTATTATTATTATTATTATTATTATTATACAGGATTTATATATTATTATACAGGATTTATATAGCGCCAACAGTTTGCTCAGCGCTTTACAATATAATACTACAAAAATATTCCCCTTTCAATCATATACATTATATATTATTTATTTATTTATCGAGTTTATATAGCGCCAAAGGGTTTGCTCAGCGCTGTACAATAGAGGGGGGGGACAATACATGAAACAGTACAGTAACATCAAACAGGACACAAAGGGGTAAGAGGGCCCTACTCTTTCGAGCTTACAATCTAGGAATTTATCATTATATATCTATATATTATTATCATATACTATATTCATATACTAAACTATACTCTTTTCATATTATTATTGATATTACCGTATTTGCCGGCGTATAAGACGACCCCCCTACTTTTCCTGCTAAAATGTAGTGTTTGGGCTATACTCGCCGTATAAGACTACCCCTCTTCCAATGCACACCAGTGGGAGGAAATAGTGCCCCATCATTGGTGTCAGTGGGAGGAATAGTGCCCCATCATTGGTATTAGTGGCAGGAATAGTGCCCTATCATTGGTATCAGTGGAGGAATAGTGCTCCATCATTGGTGTCAGTGGGAGGAACAGTGCCCCATCATTGGTGTCAGTGGGAGGAATAGTGCCCCATCATTGGTATCAGTGGCAGGAATGGTGCCCATCATTGGTATCAGTGGCAGGAATGGTGCCCCATCATTGGTATCAGTGGCAGGAATAGTGCCCCATCATTGGTATCAGTGGGGGGAATAGGTGCCCCATCATTGGTATCAGTGGCAGGAATGGTGCCCCATCATTGGTATCAGTGGCAGGAATGGTGCCCCATCATTGGTATCAGTGGCAGGAATAGTGCCCCATCATTGGTATCAGTGGGGGGAATAGGTGCCCCATCATTGGTGTCAGTGGGAGGAATGGTGTCCCATCATTGGTGTCAGTGGCAGGAATAGTGCCCCATCATTGGTATCAGTGGCAGGAATGGTGCCCCATCATTGGTATCAGTGGCAGGAATGGTGCCCCATCATTGGTATCAGTGGCAGGAATAGTGCCCCATCATTGGTGTCAGTGGGAGGAATAGTGCCCCATCATTGATGTCAGTGGGAGGAATGGTGTCCTATCATTGGTGTCAGTGAGGGGTGGAATAGTGCCCCATCATTGGTGTCAGTGGGGGGTTGGAATAGTGCCCCATCGTTGGTGTCAGTGGGGGGGGGGATAGTGCCCCATCATTGGGTGTCAGTGGGGGGGAGGAATAGTGCCCCATCGTTGGTGTCAGTGGGAGGAATAGTGCCCCATCATTGGTATCAGTGACACCAATGATGGGGCACTATTCCTCCCACTGAGACTTGCTGACCCTGTTCTCGTATGGTGCTGCTGCAGCCAGCATATGTGGTTTGCAGCAGCACCTCTACACAGAACACTTACCTGCTGCTCCGGCACTCAATTTTCGCGGGGCCGCTCGGCTCCGCCCCCTTGCCGGTGATTGGCCGCCTGTGTGCCTTTCCTGAGCTACAGTTCTGGCGGCCAATCACCGGTGAGGAGGCGGAGCCGAGCAGCCGCACGAACATCCAGTGGCCGAACTGAAGGAGACGCCGCGCTTCCTGGACCGGATCGTCGTGGGACTGGATCCAGGTAAGAGACATCAGCCCCTGCAAGCCCCTGTACTTAATGCCGCAGCCCCCCTAAACATGTGTACCGGCGTATAAGACGACCCCCGACTTTTGAGAAGATTTTCAAGGGTCAAAAAGTCGTCTTATACGCCGGCAAATACGGTATTATATTACTACTACTGCTATTACTAATATTCCCCTTTTTTAAATAATAAATGATGATGATGATTATTAAAAAAAATACAGTATATACTTTTTCTATTTAATAATGATGGACACGATGATGATTATTAATAATAATAAAAAATATAACAATAATAACAATCTATTAGCGCATAATAATCACATTTATAAGCGTTTGCGTTTGAAATTTTTTTTTTTAACTCTTCCAGTTCACGATGCTGTCCAGAGCCTTTTTTTCATCATGAAAAATGCATGCAAAGCGTTTTCAAGGTGCTCAGATGGACAAAACACTGAACACAGGATGTTCCTACCAAGCTTGTCATACATTGTAATGACCAATTCACACCTCAGACCTCTCCCACCCTTGGAAAACAAAAGATATGTTAATGACCATTCACACCTCAAATTCCTCATGAAGACCCCCTGCCAGGAGATCTTAATGACTCCCTCCACCAGACACCTGACCCACCCTTGGAAACAAAAGAAATGTTAATAAGCAACTCACACCTAATAATTTCACCACATACTGCTGTCTCTGCTTCTACTCTCTGTATTTCTCTGAAAGAGTCTGAAATAGTTAATAATTTACCACTTTTCAGAGCATTCTGGGTATTTGGGAGGTTCTCCTGTGCATATCTTTAAAAAACACTTCTAAAGCCATGCAGACCCCCATGGCCTGTACTTTTTTATTTTTTTTTAAAGAAAAATTAAAGAAAAAACAAACTGATGTGTGGGTAATGTTGGTGCAAATAGTGCTTACCAGAGCTCATCTTTACATAACCAGTTCTTCTCTTTATAGGCCTGGGCGATATTTAAAGGAAAATTTAAAGAGGGCGATAGGGCGGAGCCAGCGACGTGGAAGACCCGCCTACGCTGCGCTCTCAACAAAAGCCCCGACTTTGAGGAGGTGACAGAGAGATCCCAGCTGGACATTTCGGAGCCGTACAAGGTGTACCGGATCGTCCCGGAGGAAGAGCAGAAATGTGAGTGGTTGAGCCTGAGTCATGTGATTGTTTGTTAGTATTCCGAAGGCGGAGCTAGTGACAGATCTAAAGATTATTTATTATTATTATTATTATTAATTATAATAATAATAACAACAACAATGTAACTTTTTTTGCAATGGGAGAAACAGCTAATGGGTAGACATCCAACCTAAATCCACCACCTTCATTCACCTTCTGTAATACTTCATGGATGGGGAAACGCATGCAGCAGCAGAGCAGGGAAAACGCTCATTGCAGTATGAGAAAGGAGTTTTTTTCCTCTTCCAACTAACCAGGTGTGAAGGTGAAGGAAGCACAAACAAATTCAAATTCCCCAGAAAGGATTGTACTTTTTTGAACCTGGTAATTGGTTTTATGTGACTATTTACCATACATGTGCTCCCTCTTTACCCCCACCCCGGTATTCCTATGCCCTGCCCTGATATTCCTATGCCCCGCCCCTGTATACCTATGCCCCGCCCCAGTATTCCTATGCCCCGCCCCAGTATTCCTATGCCCCGCCCCGGTATTCCTATCCCGGACCCGGTATACCTATGCCCCGCCCCGGTATACCTATGCCCCGCCCTGATATTCCTATGCCCCACCCTCTTTAGAGAGCACCACCTGCCTGGTATTGGACTGGATTTGTAGGGTTGTCTACCTGCACCTTGCAGTGGATTCAGCTGATTGGCGAATTATAGTGCTGGCAGGAATTGTATGTTTAACAAATGGTGTGGGGTTCCCCTAATAATTCATACCAGGCTTCCCAGGTCCAATGTGAATTTTAAGTGGGAACCCCCCCAAAAAAACATTGTGCCCCCCCCCAAAAAAGCTATGCTAGACCCCTATCTGAACTTGGCCAGGAAGGGGGGAAAAAGCCCTGAGCCACACCTGCCCACACACCCTCAACATGGGGGCACCCTTTATGAGAGGCTTTCACCATCCCTGTGCTGAGTTCCCGGATCTGTACACCCGCTGTGTCCATTATGAGGGGTTCCCACCATCCCTGTGCTGAGTTCCTGGGTCTGTACACCTGCTGTGCCCATTATTAGGGGTTCCCATTATCCCTGTCCTGAGTTCACGGGTCTATACACCTGCTGTACCCATTATGAGGGGTTCCCACCTACCCTGTGCTGAGTTCCCAGGTCTGCACACCTGCTGTGCCCATTATGAGGGGTTCCCACCTTCCCTGTGCTGAGTTCACGGGTCTGTACACCTGCTGTGCCCATTATGAGGGGTTCCCACCATCTCTGTGCTGAGTTTCCGGGTCTGTACACCTGTTGTGCCCATTATGAGGGTTTCCCACCATCCCTGCTGGATTGGATATCTAATATAATAAAAATGTAATTTATATGAAGAAGCACCCCGTGGTGGATTGGAACCCCCCAAAATTCAGGATGGGGTGGGGTTAGAGTCGGTAGTGACGGCAGGCAGACACCAGCGGTGGACCCAGCTCACTAGGACTCCGCCTACAACTGGATTGTCTGTATGTAGTACTTTACTTCACTGACAACATCATCAATTTCATTTTGAAGGTAAAATTGTGGGGACCAACATGAGTGAACTCACAGAGATGGACTGCAGCTCCTCAGAAATGGAGGTAAGAAGATAAAAGGAAATGATGAAATCCCTCCATTCAGTAAGTTAGCGAATTATATAAAACAATCAGCAAACATATTATATATATTTCAGGTACTTATATAACACTTTACATATATATTGTACATTCACATCAGTCCCTAACCCTCAAGGGGTGTACAATCTAAGGTCCCTAACTTACATTCATACATACACATACTAGGGACAATTTAGATAGGAACCAATTCACCTACCAACATGTCTTTGGAGTGTGGGAGGAAACCCAAGTTTCCCAGAGGAAACCCACACAAGCACAGGGAGAACATGCAAACTCCAGGCAGGTGGTGCTGTGGTTGGGATTCAAACCAATGACCCTAGTACTGCCAGGCGGAAGTGCTAACCATTTAGCCACTGTGCTACCCAAACATATGTGAAGTATTATTAGTATAATAACCTGATATCTGTTTTTATATAAACTTCCCTTCATTCCCTGCACCGCTCCAACACTGCGCACCTGCTGGACTGCATTGTAGAATTCTGCCATCCCCACATGTTTCAGGCTTTGGGGGATGGCAAGGGAAGAATTAGAGGAGGTGGACAGGGAAGACCTCGCTAGTGATCAATGTCATTAATTCATAGGAGCAGGGGCGTCCCTAGGGTGGGTGTCACCCGGCGCGATAACACTTGGTGACACCCCCTCCGATGATCCCTGCAGAATGGATCGGATCTGCAGATTGAGCATAATGGGTCAGACTCCGATCCATTATACTCAATCCGCAGATCCGATCCATCCTGCGGGGATCATCGGCTTACTTTACGAGTTACTTTTTCGTGGAGCGGGTCCGGTGTCACCCCGTATAGGTTTCTTGTCGACGATCCCCGCAGGATGGATAGGATCTGCGGAATGAGCATAATGAATCGGAGTCCATTATGCTCCCCAATCCACAGATCCTAACCATCCTGCGGGGATCGTCGGCATGCAACCTATATGGAGCAACACCGGACACGAAAAGGTAAGTTGTAAAGCAAGCCGATAATCCCCGCAGGATGGATTGGATCTGCGGATTGGGGAGCATAATGGACTCAGATCCATTATGCTCATTCCGCAGATCCTATCCATCCTGCGGGGATCATCGGCATGCATCCTATACGGGGTGACACCGGACCCGCTCCACGAAAAAGGTAAGTTGTAAAGCAAGCGGACAATCCCCGCAGGATGGCTTTGGGGGATGGCAAGGGAAGAATTAGAGGAGGTGGACAGGGAAGACCTCACTAGTGATCAATGTCATTAATTCATAAAGGCAGAGGCGTCCCTAGGGTTGGTGTCACCCGGTGCGATAACACTTGGTGTGACACCCCCTCCGATGATCCCCGCAGAATTGGGGAGCATAATGAATCGGACTCTGATCCATTATGTTCAATCTGCAGATCTGATCCATCCTGCGGGGATCGTCGGATTGCTTTACAACTTACCTTTTCGTGGAGAGGGTCCGGTGTCACCCCGTGCAGTAGATGTCACCCGGTACAGCACGAACCCCCCGCACCTGCCTGGGGACGCCCCTGCAGAGGGGAGAGCAGCCTCCAGGAGGGGGGTGACACAGGAACTCTGGGGTGTGGTGTTGATCACAGGAGCAGCCAAACAGAATCACGAATACCTTTTTTTCCATAGACCAAGCCACAGCTGGTTATTTGCTGGCTGTATCCATGAACATAACTTCTTTAAGGCTCCATTCACATTAGTGCGTCACGTGATTTCCAGTGCGGCTTTGGAGTGACTCGTGGTGCGACTTTTATCCAACTTTACATTTATTGAACCAAAGTCACATCAAAAGTCGTACCAAAGTAGTGCAAGAACTACTTTCAAGTCCCTGCGGCTTGAGGTTGTACAGATTTAAATGGTATTCGTTGGGACACATGCGGTGCGACTTGTTGGGGTTGACTTTGGTGTCCAGAGTGTGAATGGATTCTTAACTTTGACAATGAAAACTTTGTATACATTTGTATCACTTTTTACATTCAAGTTACTGTCATGATTTAACCACCTCCCATCCAGCAAAAAAATAAAACTCCCAGCGGTGAATAAATACCACCAAAACAAAGCTTTATCTGTCTAAGAAAATGATAAAAAATTCATATGGGTACAGTGTTGCATGACCGCGCAATTGTCATTCAAAGTGTGATAGCGCTGAAAGCTGAAAATTGACCTGGGCAGGAAGGGGGTGAAAGTGTCCGGACTGGAAGTGGTTAAAGAGAACCTGTCATCATATAAGTGCAGTGGCAGCCATTACTGACTTTATAAGATGTTGCTGGGTCCCAGGCTGCCATACTTGTTGAGGTAGGGGACTTAGTTGGGTCCAGGTTTGTCCCGGATCAGGATGAGCATGACAGTCAGGAAGAAGTGGCTTTTATTAAGGCTTGGCTCACACCTCTGCAGTTTGCGTTTGATCTATTTCTGTAGTGCTTGTTGCAGTGCGTTTTGCATTTTTGCACATGTGTTTTTCACAGCGTTTATTGTCTTTTTTTTTTGTTGTTGTTTTTATGCAAGTTAAAACGCAAAACACATCAAAAACGCATGTGTTTCTGCCATGTATCCATCAAAACCTAACGCACCATGTTGTGTTTAAAAAAAGTCCCTGACCCATCCCAAAAATGCATAGGTGTGAACGTGTCCCATAGGAAACCATGTTAAATGGACTGCAGTGCCTTTCTGCAAAACGCACTAGAAACGCATCGTTGTGATCCAGCCCTTGGTAGATATTGTTCTTTCCTGTCTCTGAATGGCTCCTTTGTGTTTCAGACGTCTGCGGAAGACTTCTTGGTGAACATCAAGCGCAGCCCGTCCCCGGCCAAGGACAGCTGTCAGAAGCCAGGGTCACATGACTGGTGGATGTACCCTCACAGTGCAGGTATTGCACCCTCACACCATACACTGCCCCCCCCCCCCCCATAAGGATACACAGGGATGGAGAATGGAGGCGTGGCCCTATGTTAAGTGCTCTCTTAACCAGGGGTGGACTGACCATTTGAGCACTCAGGCACTGCCCGGGGGCCCGGGGTCAGTAGGGGGCCCCATGAAATGCCCTTGGCACTTTTTATAGGCTTTTTTGGGTGTGTGCTTTTGAGTGTGGGGAAGGACACAGGGGCCCCATGATCCCCTATTGCCCAGGGGCCCCATGAGTTGTCAGTCCGCCCCTGCTCTTAACCCCTTCTGCAATCTGTAGATTTACATTCTCAGGCTCCCTACTGCTGTGCCTGTGTGCTGCAGTGTGCGCATGAAATGGCTTACTCTGATTTCACTGCACACTGTTCTCATAATGTACATGAAGGCTCCATTTACACTTGTGCAACTTCAAAATCCTGCAATTTTCATTGCGACTTTACAGTGCGACTTGATGCGACTTTGACTCAATGTTGTTGCTACTTTGATACAACTTTGGCTTTGATCACGGATGATTGTTTTTGGTTTACAAAGTCGCACACAAGTATCATGAATATCATGAATATCATTCTGGTGCGTCTTTGGAGGGTTTACATTAGGGTTGCCACCTCATCCCTTTAAACCCGAACACATTAATTACACAGGTTCTGGGGCTAATTTAATGCAAATAAGGCACTGACCCACATGGAAGAAAAATATATTTTAAATATATTTTTTAAATATTCTTCCCTAATATATTGACAAATATTTAAAATACTACAATTTTGGCCTTTTTTTATATATTACAAAATATCTGAAAAATATTTTTTTTTAAATATATTTTTTTTAAATCTATTCTTCAGATTTTTTTTTTAACATATAAAAAAGTCATTTTAACATATATTTTTACATATATTTATAAATGCATTCCAAAAATGTAGAGTAAATGTATTTATAAAGACATACAGCATATTTGAAAATGTATTTTTAAAAATATTTTTCATATATTTTGTAATATATAAAAAAATGCATTTGAACATACAGTGTGTATATATATATATATATATATATATATATATATATATATATATGTACTGTATGTTCAAATGCATTTTTTTATATTATAAAATATCTGAAAAATATTTTTTAAAAATATATATTTTTTAAATCTATTCTTCAGATTTTTTTTTAACATATAAAAAAGTAATTTTAACATATATTTTTACATATATTTGTAAATGCATTCCAAAAATGTAGATTAGATGTATTTTCAAAGACATACTGTATATTTGAAAATGTATTTTTAAAAATATTTTTCAGATATTTTGTAATATATAAAAAAACACATTTCAACATGTATATAGTTATTGAAATATATTTTGAAATATATTGAATCCGGCCAAAATTGTAGTATTTCAAATATAGGTCAATATATTTGGGAAGAATATTTTTAAAATATATTTCAAATATATTTTTCTTCCATGTGGGAAGTGAGTTTAATTACCACCTTAATCAGCCCCAGAACCTGTGTAATTGATATGTGTTCGGTTTTAAAGGGATGAGGTGGCCACCCTAGTTTACATTGAAGTCTATGGCCCTCAAGTGACATGAAAGTCAGATCAAAGTCGCGCAGGAACTACTTTCAAGTCGCTGCGACTTGAAGTCGCACAGTAATGAATGGTACTCATTGAAAAACATGGGGTGCGACAAGTCACACAAGTGTGAATGGAATCTAAAAGAGGCAGGAAGTCACCCCATTTCCTTGCTGGTGAACATCCAGCATCATCTAGCCCTTTCCTCTCGAACCTGACTTTCCCTGGCCCACCCCTTTCCTTCATAGGATTTTAGTTCTATTAATTATGGAGGCTCAGCATCAAATGTGGGTGTTACCTATGTAAATACAGCCAGCCCAGTAACGCCCACATCTTCAGACTGACACCCACCCATCAAGGCTTTTTAATATGTGCATAACTCCCCTCAAAAGCCGCCCCATTACTTGCATCAGGAATGAGCGCTCTTGAGAGGAGTAGACGAGTAGGGTGCTGTGATGCTTTCAGGACACTATGTCCAGCACCCTGCTGGTCCCCCCCCCACCAGCACTCAACTGTATGCATTGCATAGATAAAAACAGAGACCCAGGGATGACATCTCTGGCTCTAAAATTCAGGTATGTAAAGAAGACTGAAAGGTTTTATTAAAAAAAATTCTTTAGCTCCCTGAGAGATCTGAGTTATAATTCTTTTTGTCTTCTTTAGGAATGCATGGAGTGGAAGGTTATAACGTGTATCCGAATGAACCGGTCCCTCCCGGTAAGACATAACATAGACGTCCAGGACAATCTCTTTCTTAACAATCTAAGTGTACAATCTTGTTTGGACTGCATTCACACCTTCACATCCCATGAGACCTTTTTTTTTTTGGTGCATTTTCACACTACACCCATAGGGCAGCCTATTCATTTGTGTTGCCTTATGTACAACAATTGCACACTTTTTTTGGGAATTGAGCTTCAAGTGGACCACTGAGCAACTTCTTCCCTCCCTGGTTAGCTCTCGCCTTGACTATTGTAACTCCCTCCTCATTGGCCGACCTCATCGCAGGCTATCTCCTCTTCAGTCTATCATGAATGCTGCTGCCAGACTCATCCACCTCACTAACCGTTCTGTATCTGTCATCCCTCTCTGCCAATCCCTCCACTGGCCTCGACCCCTCTCTGCCAATCCCTCCACTGGCCTCCATCCCTCTCTGCCAGTCCCTCCACTGGCCTCCATCCCTCTCTGCCAATCCCTCCACTGGCCTCCATTCAGTGTCCTCCATCCCTCTCTGCCAGTCCCTCCACTGGCCTCCATCTCTCTCTGCCAATCCCTCCACTGGCCTCCATTCAGTGTCCTCCAACCCTCTCTGCCAATCCCTCCACTGGCCTCCATTCTGTGTCCTCCACCCTTCTCTGCCAATCCCTCCACTGGCCTCCATCCCTCTCCGCCAATCCCTCCACTGGCCTCCACCCCTCTCTGCCAATCCCTCCACTGGCCTCCACCCCTCTCTGCCAATCCCTCCACTGGCCTCCACCCCTCTCTGCCAATCCCTCCACTGGCTTCCATCCCTCTCTGCCAATCCCTCCACTGGCCTCCATTCAGTGTCCTCCACCCCTCTCTGCCAGTCCCTCTACTGGCCTCCATCCCTCTCTGCCAATCCCTCCACTGGCCTCCATCCAGTGTCCTCCATCCCTGTCTGCCAATCCCTCCACTGGCCTCCACCCCTCTCTGCCAATCCCTCCACTGGCCTCCACCCCTCTCTGCCAATCCTCCACTGGCTTCCATCCCTCTCTGCCAATCCCTCCACTGGCCTCCATTCAGTGTCCTCCACCCCTCTCTGCCAGTCCCTCTACTGGCCTCCATCCCTCTCTGCCAATCCCTCCACTGGCCTCCATCCAGTGTCCTCCATCCCTGTCTGCCAATCCCTCCACTGGCCTCCACCCCTCTCTGCCAATCCCTCCACTGGCCTCCACCCCTCTCTGCCAATCCCTCCACTGGCTTCCATCTCTCTCTGCCAATCCCTCCACTGGCCTCCATTCAGTGTCCTCCACCCCTCTCTGCCAGTCCCTCTACTGGCCTCCATCCCTCTCTGCCAATCCCTCCACTGGCCTCCATCCAGTGTCCTCCATCCCTGTCTGCCAATCCCTCCACTGGCCTCCACCCCTCTCTGCCAATCCCTCCACTGGCCTCCACCCCTCTCTGCCAATCCCTCCACTGGCTTCCATCTCTCTCTGCCAATCCCTCCACTGGCCTCCATTCAGTGTCCTCCACCCCTCTCTGCCAGTCCCTCCACTGGCCTCCATCCCTCTCTGCCAATCCCTCCACTGGCCTCCATTCAGTGTTCTCCATCCCTCTCTGCCAATCCCTCCACTGGCCTCCATCTTTCTTTGCCAATCCCTCCATTGGCCTCCATTCAGTGTCCTCCACTCCTCTCTGCCAATCCCTCCACTGGCTTCCCATTGCCCAACGGATAAAATTCAAACATTAACAATAACATATAAAACCATTTATAACTCCCCAAATCACATCACCAATATTGTCTCCAAATATCACCCAAACCGTACTCTCCGCTCCTCCCACGACCTCCTGCTCTCTAGCTCCCTTGTCTATCCCCAGCATCCACTCAATGTGCAGAATTTACCCAGGATCTCTCAGCTCTGAAAAGCAGGGGGGGAGCTGAAGTTACATCAGTGAGGAGAGCTCTGAGAGCTGATTGGAGGGAAGAGACACACCCCCCTTCACACAGCACACAGGTACACAGCTGACACTGTCAATCACACGCTGCGCCCTCCCCGTCACCATTTATCTCTTGGTGTCAAAAAAACATGTCAGAAGTGACTCCAGTAACTCTGGAGTGAGACAAGTACACACGATAGAGGGATATGCTTTGTTCATATTTCATGTCTTTAATGTTGGCTTTGATACATAGGCGTTCATGGCAATGCCCAGTCTCCCATGTCTTTTGTTTGACAACAACATCAAAATATCACCCAAACTGTCCTCTCTGCTCCTTCCAAGATATCCTGCTCTTTAGCTCTCTTGTCTCCTCCCCCCATGCTCATCTCCAGGACTTCTCCAGAGCCTCTCCCATCCTCTGGAACTCTTTACTTCAATCTGTCCGGCAATCTCCTACTCCATCTAACAACTGAACTTTAAGGGCCAGTTCACACTGTAGAAATTCAGTCCAGATGCATTCCGGATGCTTTTCTGCATGCACATTTTTTATGCATTTTTTGGCACGTTCTGGTGCATTTTTGATGCATTTTTGATGCATTCCAGTTCATTTCCCCCCCCCCCTCTCTTTTTCTTCAATTTAAATAGGGACATGTACGTTCCAGTGCATTTCTTGTGCGTTTTGGTGCGCTCCAGTACGTTCCAGTGCATTTTTGACGCGTTTTACCGCGTTCCAGTACAGTTCTGTACAGAAAGAATGCAGCCTCTTCTACTTTTTTTTCTGCAACCGGAATGCATTGGAACTGCAAGCGCTGATGTGACCTTAGAGTTGCCACCTCATCCCTTTAAGGCTAAGGCTAGACCTATGCAGGTTGTGTTTGAACCATTGCTGCCTTGCATTCTGCGTTTTTGCACTTGCATTTTTGACACGTTTTTGATGCGTTTTGCGGTTTCCTCCGGGTACTCCGGTTTCCTCCCACACTCCAAAGACATGCTGGTAGGTGAATTGGCTCCTGTCTAAATTGTCCCTAGTATGTGTATGTATGAATGTGAGTTAGGGACCTTAGATTGTACACCCCTTGAGGGTTAGGGACTGATGTGAATGTACAATATACATGTAAAGTGCTGCGTAAAGTGATGCCGCTATATAAGTACCTGAAATAAATAATAAATTGTATGAGAAGATTTACACCCCCATAGACCTCTATGGAACTCAAACAGATTCACTCATCCCTAAATGAAGCATTGAAATGCTTCGTATAGATCATGTGAAGCGTCGAGTTTCGGCGTCCTGGGCGAAAATACGAAACCTCCCTTAGCAAGCCCGGTTTGGTCCTGGCTGTTCATTTTTAATACCATGAGGCCTGTTATTCCCCCGATGTACAGATGAAACCCTCGTGGGGGAGGGGGGAGGAAGCACCTGCGGCTGAAGAGCCCGCCCCCTCACTTGGTGGTCACTGATCAATGAAGCACGGCTGTGGAAAATTCCCGCACAGTATTCAAGCTGATGGGGGGAAATTTACTGCTGTATGCATTAACATAATATTTTCGGGGGGTTACGTTGAAACAGAAACAGGACAGGTGCATGCAAGCCCGTTATAAAACAAAAATCATCCGAAGATGGAACATACCTTTAATTTTATCTTTAAGGGGAAATTTATCACAGTTTATAATTTATCACGGTTTATAATTTATCACGGTTTATCACTTATCACAGTTTATCATTTATTACGGTTTATCATTTATCACAGGTTTATCATTTATCACAGTTTATCATTCATCACAGGTTTATCATTTACCACAGGTTATCATTTATCAGGTTATCATTCATCACAGGTTATCATTTATCACAGGTTATCATTTATCACAGGTTATCATTCATCACAGGTTATCATTTATCACAGTTTATTATTTATCACGGTTTATAATTTATCATGGTTTATCATTTATCACAGTTTATCATTTATCATTTATCACAGTTTATCAATGGTTTATTTTTACCAGTATTTTAGTTTCTGTTAAATAAGATAATAGGAATATTTTGTGAGAAGTTTTTCTTTTTTAGTGGTGGTGTTGGTGGGGAGGAATGGGGGGGGGGGGGGGGTGGCCAAATGTAACATTGTTATATTTAGGAAAGCTAGTAAAAGCTGTAAAGTGAGGATGCTTTTAAAAATAATCAAATGATTAATTTTTATATATCAATTTACAGCCTGCATAGTGCAGACACAGGAAAAAAAATCTAAACCAAATCAATCTGGTGCTCACTGTGTAGCAGGGGCGGACTGACCATTTGGAATTCACTCTTTCATTGGGGCATAAGGATGGGAAACTGATGAACACTGTGCTCCATCACTTTATTGGTCAATATGGCGTACGCTGTACATTGTATCCTTCATTCATTCTATTCATTATATCCTTCATTCATTCTATATACATTGTATCCTTCATTCATTCTATATACATTGTATCCTTCATTCATTCTATATACATTGTATCCTTCATTCATTCTATATACATTGTATCTTCAGCTCAGTCCAAATACATTGTATCTATACATTATCCTTCATTCATTCTATATAGATTGTATCATTCATTCTATATACATTGTTGATTACTTGATTATCCTCAATTCATTAATATGCATTGGGAGAGATTTACTAAAACTGGATCACACACAATCTGGTGCAGCTCATTAATTTATGTTCTGGCAATGAAACCTGGAAGTTGATTGGTTAGTATGCAGAGCTGCACCAGACATTTTATCCTCAATTCAGTCCATATATATTGGGGGTTATTTACTAAAGCCGGAGCCGTGCACAGTCTGGTGCAACTCTGCATACTAACCAATCAACTTCCAGGTTTTATTGCCAAAACGTAATTGAACATACTATGCACAGCTGCACCAGATTTGCACTCTTCGGTTTTAGAAAATCAACCCCATTGCATCCTCAGTTTAATCCATATACATTGCATCCTCATATCATTAGTATACATTGTATCCTCAGTTCAGTCCATATACTTTGTATTCTCAATTTGGTCCTTATACATTATATCCTCAATTCATTCATATACATTGTATCCTGCGTTCAGTCCATCTACATTGTAAACTCAATTTGGTCCATGGCTTTGCATCCTCTGTCCCATAGGCTCGGTTGCATATACCCTCTGTCCATATACTTTATATCCTCAGTTCCATATACTTTGTATCCTCAGTTCAGTCCATATACTTTATATCCTCAGTTCAGTCCATATACTTTATATCCTCAGTTCAGTCCATATACTTTGTATCCTCAGTTCAGTCAGTCCATATACTTTGTATCCTCAGTTCAGTCCATATACTTTGTATCCTCAGTTCAGTCCATATATACTTTCAGTCCATATACTTTATATCCTCAGTATCCTCAGTTCAGTCCATATACTTTATATCCTCAGTTCAGTCCATATACTTTATATCCTCAGTTCAGTCCATATACTTTGTATCCTCAGTTCAGTCCATATACTTTGTATCCTCAGTTCAGTCCATATACTTTATATCCTCAGTTCAGTCCATATACTTTGTATCCTCAGTTCAGTCCATATACTTTGTATCCTCAGTTCAGTCCATATACTTTGTATCCTCAGTTCAGTCCATATACTTTGTATCCTCAGTTCAGTCCATATATACTTTGTACCCTCAATTCAGTCCATATACTTTGTATCCTCAGTTCAGTCCATATATTTTGTACGTTTAATTCAGTCCATATACTTTAATTCAGTTCCATATACTTTGTATCCTCAGTTCAGTCCATATACTTTGTACCTCAGTTCAGTCCATATACTTTGTATCCTCAGTTCAGTCCATATACTTTGTGTACCCTCAATTCAGTCCATATACTTTGTATCCTCAGTTCAGTCCATATACTTTGTAATCAATTCAGTCCATATACTTTGTATCTTTAAGCTTCAGTCCATATACTTTGTATCCTCAGTTCAGTCCATATACTTTGTATCCTCAGTTCAGTCCATATACTTTGTATCCTCAGTTCAGTCCATATACTTTGTATCCTCAGTCAGTCCATATACTTTGTATCCTCAGTTCAGTCCATATACTTTGTATCCTCAGTTCAGTCCATATACTTTGTATCCTCAGTTCAGTCCACTTACATTGTTTCCTATTCTTAAGCCCTGAAGAAGAGTGTTTGGCCCTGACACGTGTCGGCTTTTATTATTTTTTCCGTCTGACTTTCCATTGGAATTTGTACCTGGACAGAAATTTGACTCCACCCACTAAAACTAAAAAAAAAAAGATGTGAGTGGGACTTACAGTTAGGGTTACACCAGCCAACAAATGATGATAAAAAAGTCACCCGAAGCGAAACTCCCCCTTGAAAACATGTCTTGTGCCTCCACAGGGTTTTCACAGATGATCATCCACTTCTACTACGGAGGGAAAGCGGTCAGCCAAGTGACGACGACGCGTGTGGAAGGGTGTCGCCTCTCCTTGCACCCGCCCATCAGCACTGAAAAGTATTACCCGTTAGAAGGATTCGAAAACATCCAGTTCCCTCCGGCGGAATACATCATGAGCGAGCGCCAGCGGCAGATCACCAAGAAGCTGTTCGGACACCTGGAGAGGGGGGGTCATCCTACTCAGCAACCGGCAGGGAATCTTCATCAAGAGGCTGTGCCAGGGCCGGGTGTTCTGGAGCGGGAACTGCATGCCGTACAAAGACCGGCCGGCCAAGCTGGAGAGGGACGAGGTCACCAAGATCTTCGACACCAATCAGTACATTTAAGAGGTGAGCCAGGGATCCCATTTATATGCTGATGTCCAAGTCTGCAACATTTTATTGTATTTTAGAACTTCTGATAATGTTTTTATCATTTTTTTTTATTTTTTATTAGTGTCTGTGGGTTTCCTGTCCCGGTGACAACCACATCCCCTGCTTCTTGTGTAGGTGTCATAGGCACAGGAAGTGAGGGAAAGTCTGCCTAGCATGGTCAGAGACAAAAATGACTCTCTACATATACTGTATGCAGGCTGTTCTTTCTAATTAGCCGTGCACAGTGACTGTGCTTTATTTATTATTTCAGGTACTTATATAGCGCTGTCAATTTGTGCAGTGCTTTACATATATATTGTACATTCACATCAGTCCCTAACCCTCAAGGGGTGTAGAATCTAAGGTCCATAATTACATTCATACATACACATACTAGGGACAATTTAGACAGGAGCCAATTAACCTACCGGCATGTCTTTGGAGTGTGGGAGGAAAACCGGAGTACCTGGAGGAAACCCACACAGGTACAGGGAGAACATGCAAACTCCAGGCAGGTGGTGCTGTGGTTGGGATTCGAACCAAAGACCCTAGTACTACCAGGCAGAAATGCTAACCATTTAGCCACTGTGCTGCCTAGGCTCACACCTCTGTGTTTTGTGGAAACGCACAGCAGTCCATTTAACATGATTTCCTATAGGACAGGTTCACATCTCCACGTTTTCACCCGGTGTGTTTTTGGAAAGGGTCAGGGACTTTTTTGAACGCAAAAAAGTTGCATTTTTGGTTCTATAGACTTCCATGGAAATGCTGCAGAAAAGCATGTATTGTGTTTTTGATGCGTTTTGCGTTTTAAATCTGTCTACCAACAAGAAAAATAAAAAAAAAAAATCGCATTAAAAATGCGTACAAAACGCAGGTGCAAAAATGCAACACGCAATTCATAAACGGCTCAAACTCAACCTGCATAGGTGTGACCCTAGCCTTAGACTTTTGTGAGTTTAGGGCAGTTAGAGGGATGCTGATTGGTTGTTCTGAGTTTTTTGGAAAGGGGTCAGGGTCTTTTTTAAATGCAAAACGTTGCGTTTTTGGTTCTATAGATTTCAATGGAGATGCTGCAGAAAAGCATGTAGTGCGTTTTTGATGCTTTTGCCTGATGAATCTATCTCTCAACCCCCCACCTCACCCCCTCAGTCTCCACCCGAATCACACACCTACTGAGCAACATATCAGACTGGATGTCACTCCACTTCCTTAAACTGAACCTCTCCAAAACCGAGCTCCTTGTCTTCCCCCCAGCCCGGACACCACCCCCCCACTGACTTCTCCATCACATCCAACAACGCCACCATCAAACCCGCCCCGCAGGCCAGAGTACTGGTGTCATTCTGGATTCCAACCTATCCTTCCAGCCCCAAGTCCAATCTTTAACTAACTCATGCAGACTCCACCTCCGCAACATCGCCAAAATCCGCACGTTCCTAACCCCAGAAACCAAACCACTAAACAGCTCATCCACTCCCTCATCATATCACGACTGGACTACTGCAACTCCCTCCTCACTGGCCTGCCTCGCCGCTGGCTATCCCCGCTTCAGTCGATCCTGAATACGGCTGCCAGACTCATTCACCTTTCCAACCGCTCCATCTCCGCCACCCCCCTCTGCCAATCCCTCCACTGCCTCCACCCCCCTCTGCCAATCCCTCCACTGGCTTCCGATTGCGCAACGGATCAAATTCAAAATCCTAACACTGACGTACAAAGCTGTCCACCATACTGCCCCGAACTACATCACTGACCTAATATCCAAGTACCGCCCAACACGCACACTCCGCTCCTCACAAGACCTCCTTCTCTCTAGTTCCCTGGTCTCCTCCTCCCATGCCCGCCTCCAGGACTTCTCCAGGGTGTCACCATCCTCTGGAACTCCCTGCCCCAACCCATCAGATTATCACCTACTCTCCTCTCCTTTAGGCGCACCCTGAAAACCCATCTCTTCAGGGAAGCCTACCCCACCCCCTGCTAACTTGCCGACCTCCTCCACTCTTCCTACCACTCCATCCCCCACAGCTATCTCCTCCTGTACCACCATCCCCTCCCTCCTAGATTGTAAGCTCTAAAAGCAGGGCCCTCGATCCCCTCATGTTTTGCATTGTATTGTTATTGTTCTGTCACATGTTCTGTCCCCCTTTGTAATGTACAGCGCTGAGCGAACTATTGGCGCTTTATAAATACTGTATAATAATAATAATAATAATAATAACAATGAAGGGGTCCTGCGAATCTCCGAAACGTCGCCTTTCTGTAACTATGTGATTGTTCATTTTGTTTGAGTTGATTATAGCCGTATTAGTGCATTTGCGACAGAAACAATTGAGTACTGTCCGTCATTAAAACTTTTGGACCCATATTGGTGATCCTCGGTGTGCTGGTGACATCCTCTAGACCACGGGTGTCAAACTGGTGGCCCTCCAGCTGTTGCCAAACTACAAGTCCCATGAGGCATTGCAAGATTGACAGTTACAAGCCTATTAAAGGGATGCATGATAGATGTTAACACGAAAAAAAAAACAAAAAAAAAACGCGAGCAGGAACATGGGATCCCACTAGGCTCAGGTGTGAATGCAGCCTAAAGGATATCAAGTCATTCAATGTTCCTGACAGGTTTATTGTAGTAATGACACTGCTGGCAGCTCACCACATGTAGTGATGGGAGGTGAACGATAGAGCAATATATGAATACTGAATATAGGTATTTGCATTGTTATCAGGCAGGTGCTGAGATGTTATTTATAGTGAGGAGGAAATACTTTGCCTTTATTACTGTTTACTCTGTTACCAGGAACATTGTGCTCCGCATACACGCCGGGGTTTAGCCTTCTCTCTACTGGACATGTGCAGAATGAAAAAATTACTTTCATTTAGTTTTGGATCGATTTGTTAAGGTCTTAATTTCCTTTAGATGCATTTGTAACAAAATTCATTTTGTTTAGTTTTGTTTCGTTTGTTCGTGTTTTTTAACCGGATTAAAATTTTTTCAGTGGATTTGAAGTAGTGGAATCGAATTCAAATCAAAAATATCAAATCAATCAAAATTCATTGAGAAGAATAGCTGGTTCTTTTTTAAAATTTGAATTTTGGAAGACGGCCATATTCTCTCTTTTTATTCTAATCTATTCTTTTTTATTCTATTCTATTATTTTCTATTATATTGTACTGCTTTATTTTCTATTCTACTCTTTTCTATTTTTGTATACTATTCTATAGTATACAATATATAGAAGAGAAGGCTAAACCCCGGTGTGTATGCAGAGCACAATGTTCCTGGTAACAGAGTAAACAGAAATTCATTTTGTTTAGTTTTGTTTCGTTTGTTCGTGTTTTTTAACCGGATTCAAATTTTTCCAGTGGATTTGAAGTAGTTGAATCGAATTTGAATCAAAAATATCAAATCAATCCAAATTCATTGAGAAGAATAGCTGGTTCTTTTTTAAAATTTTAATTTTGGAAGACAGCCATATTCTCTCTTTATTCTATTTTATTCTAATCTATTCTTTTTTATTCTATTATTTTCTATTATATTGTATTCCTTTATTTTCTATTCTACTCTTTTCTTTTCTATCTTTTTATACTATTCTATTCTTTTTCATTCTGTTCTAGTCTTTCAAATTTGAATTTCAGGAAGAAACAATTGTGTACTGTCCGTGATACTTTTTTTTATTTGCACTAACATACAATTTTGAGGACAAGCTTTCGGGGAATGTCCCCTTCTTCAAAGTCCAAGCAGTACTAATCACAAAGTTTTAGCAGAATGTTAGAATCCCCCACATCTCTTCTAACATTCTGCTAAAACTTTGTGATGTGTATAGTACTGCTTGGACCTTGAAGAAGGGGACATTCTCCGAAAGCTTGTCCTCAAAATTGTATGTTAGTGCAAATAAAAAAAGTATCACTGACAGTACTCAATTGTTTCTGTCGCAAATGCACTAATACGGCTACAATCACCTCAAGCAATTTCAGGAAGGAAATCAGAAATATTTAGCAATGTGTATACATTTCGACTTAGTCTTCCAATTCGATTTTAATTTGTTTTTTTGGTCAACAATTTGTTTTGTTATTTTGGATTTGTTTAAATTCGTTATTATTGAAATTCGGATACATCCAAATCTCCAAATAATACAAATTTAATAAGAAATTTGATTTGGAACAAAGTGAACCACACGTCTACTCTCTAAAAATGCCCAGAGCATTAATCCTGAGTTTCAAATGACATTAAATTTGGATTTAATTTTATATATTCAGATAGTTAAATTAAAATCTGAATTTTTGTATTATTTTTGGTTGTTTGGACTTCCAAACAGTGTAACAGATGGCTCTACATGGCTGTTTGGAGGTGGCTTAATACAGCCTCAGTTCAGGGTTTCTGTTATCTTTTCCTGATTATAATTCAAGCCCTGAAGAAGGGGAGTTCTTTCTCTGAAACATGTTGGTTGCATCTGAAATAAAGTATTTCATAATCATTTGAAGCAACATGAAAGTTTACTAGGCCAGGGGCGGACTGAGCATTTGGAAACTAGGGCACTGCCCGAGGGCCCGGGGTCAGTAGGGGGCCCTATGAGATGCCCCTGGTACCTTTTTCATAGGCTTTTTTGAGTTTGGGCAAGGACACAGGGGATCCATGATCCCCTATTGCCCGGGGGCCCCATGAGTTGTCAGTCCGCCCATGTACTAGTCCCTCCTAACCGCACACCCAATTTATGGCAAGGCAAAACCCATTTGAAGCAGGTCAAATGTAAGTCAGAAGGAGGTCAACTGCAGGTCAAATACACCTGTTAATGATTTCTGAATGATAATGAGATGCTCATCAGGCATGGCTGCCAGGGTCATCCCAAACCATTTTGCACAAATTTGCTGCTCACTTGACCTTAATGGGACATCTGATTCAAAAACTCCACATTTTGAAAGCTTGAGATTTTTTTTTAAAAGTTCAGACTTTTAAGAAGTTTGCTCATCTCTATTAGAGAATGAAACTGTTTGGAAAATACTCTCCGACTTCAGCTTGGAAGGGCTATTATGAAGGCCATTTCCAAAGAATGGCTGCTATTAATGATGCCCTGTACTTATATTCAACATATATTCAACATAAAGGCATGTTAGCAGTGCTGGGATGGATAAATGTGCAGTAAGGCTTTATTCAGATCTGTGGATTGCACTATTGTGTGGTTGAATTTGTAATACTTTGTGGAGACATTTATTTTGAATGGTATCCAACGCTTCTAACCAGCACACAACAATGCAGATGCACTTCAGCAGCTGCAGTAAACCATCTATGCGTTGTGCTCGGCTGCATTAGCAAAAATGGTGCGGGATTATTCAGTCCAGCATTGTGGTACATTGACAGAACACTCAAAATGAATGTGACAACTTGCCACCATGGACACTGTGGTAATGTCCCTCATTAATATGAATTGCCCCTATGAGAAGGTTTGAAAGGCTCTAAGAAAATGCTGCTTCTGGTTCCCTCCAATTCCGGTCAGATGTTGGAAGGTCCAGGTCAGCCTTTCTCAACCCTTTTACCATAGAGGAACCCCTGAAGTAGCTTTCAGGTCTCAAGGAACCCCCACTAAAATTTTTAGACCTACAGCTCATGGTATAGTAGTGTGATCAGTAGGATGTTGAGCGGTTTAAATAAAAAAAATAGAGAATGGGGTTTACTTAATAACCAACCTCTAGGACTCCTCCTGAATGGGGTTTATTTAATAACCGACCTGTAGGACTCCTCCCGAATGGGGTTTATTTAATAACCCTGTAGGACTCCTCCTGATGGGGTTTATTTAATAACCGACCTCTAGGACTCCTCCTGATGGGGTTTACTTAATACCCACCTCTGGGACTCCTAATGATGGGGTTTACATAATAAACAACCTCTGGGATACCTCCTGATGGGGTTTACTTAATAACCAACCTCTGGGATTCCTCCTGATGGGGTTTACATAATAACCAACCTCTGGGATTTCTCCTGAATGGAGTTTACTTAATAACCAACCTCTAGGACTCTCCTGATGGGGTTTACTTAATAACCGACCTCTAGGACTCCTAATGATGGGGTTTACATAATAACCAACCTCTGGGATTCCTCCTGATGGGTTTTACATAATAACCAACCTCTAGGACTCCTAATGATGGGGTTTACATAATAAACAACCTCTAGGATTCCTCCTGATGGGGTTTACATAATAACCAACCTCTGGGATTTCTCCTGAATGGAGTTTACATTAATAACCAACCTCTAGGACTCCTCCTGATGGGGTTTACTTAATAACTGACCTCTAGGACTCCTAATGATGGGGTTTACATAATAAACAACTTCTGGGATTCCTCCTGATGGGGTTTACATAATAACCAACCTCTGGGACTCCTCCTGATGGGGTTTACATAATAACCAACCTCTAGGACTCCTAATGATGGGGTTTACATAATAAACAACCTCTGGGATTCCTCCTGATGGGGTTTACTTAATAACCAACCTCTGGGATTCCTCCTGATGGGGTTTACATAATAACAACCTCTAGGATTCCACCTGATGCGGTTTACTTAATAACCAACCTCTGGGATTCCTCCTGATGGGGGGTTTACATAATAACCAACCTCTAGGACTCCTCCTGATGGGGTTTACATAATAACCAACCTCTAGGACTTCTCCTGATGGGGTTTACATAATAAACAACCTCTAGGATTCTCTCTGATGGGGTTTACATAATAAACCAACCTCTAGGATTCCACCTGATGGGGTTTACTTAATAATCAACCTCTGTGACTCCTCCTGATGGGGTTTACATTATAACCAACGTCTGGGATTCCTCCTGATGGGGTTCACTTAATAATCAACCTCTGGGATTCCTCTTCATGAGATTTACTTAATAACCAACCTCTGGGATTCCTCCTGATGGGGTTTACATAATAACCAACTTCTGGGACTCCTCCTGATGGGGTTTACATAATAACCAACCTCTGGGAATCTTCCTGATGGGGTTTAATTAATAACCAACCTCTGGGATTCCTCCTGAATTGGGTTTACATAATATCCAACCTCTGGGACAAACCTTGAGAGTAGAGCTTCTTAAGGAATCCATAGGTTCCACAGAACCCTGGTTGGGAAAGGCTGGTCTAGGTATTTAGTTACTTGATATGTGACAATGTGCACAGGAAGTAATGGGAAATCTTAGTATTTATGAACTGGCACAGAAACTAATGCCTTCCCTTTGGCTTAGAAAAATTCTACTCTTGTCATTCTATTAATTTCTTGTCCTGTCACCCTATTGGCTGCACCTTTTTCACAAGGCTTGATGGGAAGGCAGGAAATTGTTGTTTTCTGCTAATAGCCTATGTGATCTCTGAGATACTTAAGGGTAAGTCTGCTCTAGAAATATGGTCAAGGTCTTGCCTTTGCCCCATGGCATGATGGGATGCACTTTGTGACCCTGTTGCAATATTTCCATAAAGTTGTTTAGTGGCTTTGGGATTTTGGTGACAGTCAAATAGGAGGGGTCACTTCTTCTTTATAGCCCCCCTTTCATATGTCTTCTTTTTTATCCCTGCAGACTTCCAACATTGTTACTCCAATCAGATGAGACTCCCAGACAGCAAAGTGACGCTGTGCTTCGGGGAGGAGTTTCCTGACGCCACGCCGCTGCATATGAAGCTCATCATCGTACAGGTAATGAAAGACCTAAAAAAATGCTACATAGAATTGACTCAACCGTCACAGCCTGGATGCCCCTGGGCTCATAGGGTGAGCAGAGCTGAGCATTTTGGTAGACACGCCACCATCTCCGTGTTTCCAATAATTGGGAATGATGGAAGAGGGGGCACAAAAACAGGTCCAAGATAACTGGAAGGAGCTTTTCTAACACTCAGGAGTCATTTCAATCTCATTGCCTACCAAAAACCACTTTGGTTTCACCTTCTCAATGTCAAAGCTTCTGGTTTAATAGTGAAATTTTACCAAAATACTTGATGGACCCCCAAAACAAAATACCACCCAAGCAACAAATGACCCCCAGCAGTTACAACAGATCTCCCAGCAGCCAGCGTCAATAGACTTTCCGGCAGCCAGCAACAATAGCCCCTTCCCTCAACAGTAGATCTCTTCTAGCAACAACTGACCCCATCAACAATAGATCCCCCACCAGCAACAATGGACCACCACACACAAATAGATCCCCTTTAGTGACAATAGATTCTCCAGCAGATAGCAACAACAATTCGTCCGGCACGCCACAGCACCCTTTGCCATTACATACACACCACAGCACCCTTTGCCATTACATACACACCACAGCACCCTTTGCCATTACATACACACCACAGCACCCTTTGCCATTACATACACACCACAGCACCCTTTGCCATTACATACACGCCACAGTACCCTTTGCCATTACATACACGCCACAGTACCCTTTGCCCCCCCCTGTGTTCCCACAGAGGAGGACTTATGCAAATATGAAAAAAGCCTTAACATATAGGCGCCAATCTAGACAAGTGGGCGTTCCTAGGCAGGCTGTATTTGCATTGTAATACCCACATGTGATCCTGAACCTCCATGATTGAAAGAGCTGAAATCCAATGAATGAAAGGGGTGGGTCAGAGATAGTCAGGCTGGGGAGGAAAGTGCTAGATGATGCTGGATGTCCTCCAGCCAGTAAATGCCTGACTTGCTGCAGCTTCTAATGCACATTGTGAGAAGCTCACAGTGTGCAGTGAAATCAGAGTAAGCCGTTTCAGTCCAGGAGAGGAGCCGGTACAACTGTGCATGGGAGGCTGGAGGTCAGCATTCAGTAACCCCGTTGCTCCAGCGATTTTATATCTGACTCCAGTATCCTCTCTTGTCTCTGCAGGTCGAACAGCTCGGCTTGAGGCAGCTGCTGGAATCTTCTACCAAAAACTACAACATGGCCGGATTGCACTTGGTCCCTGACTCTCAAATGGACTCCATCCAACGTCACCTCCCGGATCCCTGCACCACCCACCAGAGGGCGTTCTACCGGGACACCCCGCAGATCACCGTCTGAGCCCCGCCCCCGCGCTCCTCTGCCCGTATTTTTACCTGTACAGTGACAAATAAATTTCTATTTTTCTAGTTTGTTGGTGATACTTTGTATAGTCTGTGTGAAGGGAATACTCCTGATTATTTTTGTATTATACTCAATGAAAGAAATAAATCTTTTCTGGAAGATGTCCTAGAGGGAGGATCGAGCGCTGCGTCAGATAAAACGCTGAGAGTGGATTAGGCGTCACATACATACAAAATGCTCCGCCCGTTTTCAGACCAATACCCCGACCAATACACATCGGCGCCCCGCGGGAGGGAAAGCAATCATTCTTAATAAAAATGCAAAGTGAAAAGCTATTTTCCTGTGTGACTGTTTTTGTTAATGATTGCGATAAAAAAAAAAAAAAAGATAGCTTTCAACAATACGGGATCATAGCGACAAACCGCTTCCTGAACCTGTGCGTTCTGGACACAACCTGACCATTGCACAGAATGCACGCTGCACCAGGGGTGGACTGACAACTCAAGGGGCCCCCGGGCAATAGGGGATCATGGGGCCCCTGTGACCTTGCCCAAACTCAAAAAAGCCTATGAAAAAGGTACCAGGGGCATCTCATGGGGCCCCCTACTGACCCCGGGACCTCAGGCAGTACCTGAGTTTCCAAATGGTCAGTCCGCCCCTGCGCTGCACACATCTTTAAGGTGCTATTAAAACCCAAAAGCAAACATTTATTGTATTGCAGATTACCAATTCTTAGATGTGGTGGCTGCATTAGTTTTCTTTTCATCTGGTGATCCAGCCGGTAAGCCTGTTGTTTTTCAACAGTACAAGCTCTCCTGCAGATATAGCAGTTATTTTTTATTTCATTTATTTCAGGTACTTATATAGCGCTGTCAATTTACGCAGCACTTTACATATATATTGTACATTCACATCAGTCCCTAACCCTCAAGGGGCGTACAATCTAAGGTCCCTAACTTACACTCATATACAAGGGCCAATTTAGACAGGATCCAATTAACCTACCAGGATGTCTTTGGAGTGTGGGAGGAAACTGGAGTACCCGGAGAAAACCCACACAGGCACATACAAACTCCAGGCAGGAGGTGCTGTGGCTGGGATTCAAACCAATGACCCTAGTACTGCCAGGCAGAAGTGCTAACCATTTAGCCACTGTGCTGCCCAGTTAGAGGGTTAATACAAACCATTTAACACTGACAGGGGTGCTTACAATGGTCAGCTTTATTAATGTATTTAAAACATTTATCCCAAAAGGAATTTAAAAAGAACTGCTTGCTGTAACCGATTATAAAGTGTCAGAAGTACTAGCAGATTTAGATACACTATCAAATTGAAGCCAAAATTCAGCTACAACTCCCTCTGTCCCCCCCAAAGACTGACAATGATGCTGTCCAAAGGTGACCCCTGTGCTCTTTAATTCGGAGTGTAGGTACTCTAATACAGGAGGTGTCTTTACGGACCAGATCAACAGGTGAAAATAGAGGGGAAAAAAAGCCTAAAAAAGAAAACTAAATGCAGGCACCACATCTAATGACTGGTAAGCTGCAAAATATTACATGCTTGCATTTGGGTTTAATACTGCTTTAAGACCCAATTCACACCTGAGCTGTTCTTTTTCAATTTTTGCTTTATGCATTAACATACCTCCTTAGCCTCAATCTATCCGGACAGTATAGTCACCTGTTGACTAGGCACCATCCACAGGCAGCTTAACTCTTCAATAAGACACAGAAGTTGAATCCATTTGTATTGGTCATTGCAGACACCTCACACATTGCTGCACCTCTCACAAAGGTTCCTGTAAGGTGTATGGTAGGCTCTCTAAGGTGTACAAAGGTTTGTTAAGCTGCATGGAGGATTCCTCTAAGGTCTATGGAGAGTTCTTCTAAAGCATATTGAGGGTTCCTCTAAGCTGCATGGAGGATTCCTCTAAGGTCTATGGAGAGTTCTTCTAAAGCTTATAGAGGGTTCCTCTAAGCTGCATAGATGATTCCTCTAAGGTCTGTGGAGAGTTTTCTTCTAAAGCGTATAGAGGGTTCCTCTAAGCTGCATGGAGGATTCCTCTAAGGTCTATGGAGAGTTCTTCTAAAGCATATAGAGGGTTTCTCAGCTGCATGGAGGATTCCTCTAAGGTCTATGGAGAGTTCTTCTAAAGTGTATAGAGGGTTCCTCTAAGCTGCATGGAGGATTCCTCTAAGGTCTATGGAGAGTTCTTCTAAAGCATATACAGGGTTTCTCAGCTGCATGGAGGATTCCTCTAAGGCAATGTTTAGAGGGTTCCTCTCAACCTGTTTTCAGTCAAGTTACCTTTTAAAATTCTGCACAATCTATCACAAAACTAAAAAACTAAACTAATAGTTGTACAGAACGCAGCAACATCCACACGTGTAGGGACCCAACCTCAGAGGTGATTAAATCTTCCAAAGCAAATACACTTTTGCACACTGGTCCTGACTAGTATTCCATTGTTTATCTCACTCAACTAATGTGATCCCAGACAGAGATGGTCAGGGGAGGGGCAAGCAAGGATGCTGTTCAGGTGCCCGATGTCCTTCTTATCAACTGATGACATCTTTGGGTTTTTTATGTCATCAGCAGCTATAAAGTTGTAATGGCGCACAATGAAAACCTGTGGCTTTGTGTAACTAGAAGGCAGGTGTGATCCACCCGCTGGCTTGTATACAATTTTTGGGAAATTTTTAGGCATTTTGCTAAGGCACCCCTGAAGCAACCTGAAGGCACCCTGGTTGAAAAAGGCTGCTCTAAGGTGTATGGAGGGTTCCTCTAAGGTGTACTGAAGGTTCCTCTAAGGTGCATGAAGGGTTCCTCTAAGGTGTATTGAAGGGTTCCTCTAAGGCAGTGGTTCTCAACCTTCCTAATGCCGTGACCCTTTAATACAGTTCCTCATGTTGTGGTGACCCCCAACCATAAAATTATTTACCCAGTAATTATAATTCATGAGTGTCGTTTTACCTCCAATACTGCTGCTTTCAACACAGCAGCTGCTTTCTACACAGTAGCTGCTCTTTACACATCGGAAATATGTGTTTTTCTGATGGTCTTAGGGGACCCCTGTGAAAGGGTCGTTTGACTCCCAAAGGGGTCGCAACCCACAGGTTGAGAACCACTGCTCTAAGGTGTATTGAAGGGTTCCTCTAAGGTGCATGAAGGGTTCCTCTAAGATGCATGGAGAGTTCCTCTAAGGTGTATAGAGGGTTCCTCTAAGGTGTATTGAAGGTCCCTCTAAGGTGCATGAAGGGTTCCTCTAAGATGCATGAAGGGTTCCTCTAAAATGCATGGAGAGTTCCTCTAAGGTGTATAGAGGGTTCCTCTAAGGTGTATTGAAGGTCCCTCTAAGGTGCATGAAGGGTTCCTCTAAGATGCATGAAGGGTTCCTCTAAAATGCATGGAGAGTTCCTCTAAGGTGTATAGAAGGTTCCTCTAAGGTGTATTGAGGGTTCCTCTAAGATGCATGGAGAGTTCCTCTAAGGTGTATAGAGGGTTCCTCTAAGGTGCATGAAGGGTTCCTCTAAGGTGTATAGAGGGTTCCTCTAAGGTGTATAGAGGGTTCCTCTAAGGTGTATAGAGGGTTCCTCTATGGTGTATAGAGGGTTCCTCTATGGTGTATAAAGGGTTCCTCTAAGGTGTATATTGAAGGGTTCCTCTAAGCTGCATGAAGGGTTCCTCTAAGGTGCATGAAGGGTTCCTCTAAGGTACATAGAGGGTTCCTCTAAGGTGTATATAGGGTTCCTCTAAAGGTGTATAGAGGGTTCCTCTAAGGTGTATATTGAAGGGTTCCTCTAAGGTGCATGAAGGGTTCCTCTAAGGTGCATGAAGGGTTCCTCTATGGGGTGTGTATAGAGGGTTCCTCTAAGGTGTATAGAGGGTTCCTCTAAGGTGCATATTGAAGGGTTCCTCTAAGGTGCATGAAGGGTTCCTCTAAGGTGCATTAAAGGTTGCTTTAAGGTGTATAGAGGGTTCCTCTAAGGTGTATTGAAGGTGTTCCCTCTAAGGTGTATTGAAGGTTTCCTCTATGGTGTATAGAGGGTTCCTCTATGGTGTATAGAGGGTTCCTCTAAGGTGCATGAAGGGTTCCTCTAAGGTGTATAGAGGGTTCCTCTATGGTGTATGGGGAATTTCTCCAAGGTGAAGATGGTTTCACCACAGATTATGGTTGATAAATCTTTCCTGAGACTTACAAGCTTTTATAAGGCGATGCAAAGTGAAATGTGGACTTTTCACACCTAAAAAGTTACCTTTTAGATAAACTTTCGTTTAAATTGTAACCACTTCACATGGCACATTCCAATGTCTCACAGTGCTCCACCTTCACTGATCTGATTGCACTGTACTCAGATCTCATTTCTACAGTTGGGCCCTTGTTGATGCACTGAAAGAGGCCCATTGGGGCAATTGGCCGTCTCTGCAGATTTTACTCAACTATCTGGCCACATCTGAAATGGGGGAGGAGGGGGGGAATACAGAAATAAAGAACCGACCAAACATCTGCTTCCTCCTGGCTCTGTAACCCCCAAGACTCAGCGTGTGAATTTTGTCTGTTACAAAACAGCCACTTCTGATCTCTGACTAGTGGTTTTCCAACCATTTGTTGCCTAATTTGCGGTATTGGGTGAGCACAGCAAGGACACAGGAATTAAATCAGTGTCAGACTCCAAGACTCTTCAAGAAGATTATTATTTATTGTCTTTTTATGTAAAAATCAATAACTTTCTTCTAACTACTAAGTGTGTAATTTAGCTAGGCAATCACGTTACACACATCCTCGGTGGTCATATAGGCCACTCCTTCTTCCATCTGTTAGCCCTTTCACCTTGGGGGAACCTTCAAAATAAATGTCAGGTCTTGGGGTACTCCTCTGCTAAAGCAAATGGGAGGTCAGTGGTAAAAGTTCCCTTTATATTGTCTCCTTTACGATGGTGGCTTGAATGCCAATCCTACGGACAGCTGAAAAGATCATTGTTGTCCTCAGGGGCGGA